TGGGTACCTCTCCGAGTTTAGTATTGCCATGACTTCTTTGTCAAGCAGGCAGTTCAATAGAAACCTCAAGAGTCAACAGTAATCTAATATCATACCTTTCCAGATCATACTTCGGCAACAGTTCCTCAAAGATGCGACCAAGTTTCGCCTCATTGCCGTACACTTGAGCCGTGTCGAAAAAACGATAACCACAAGATAGAGCAGCGTCCACAACGTCTCTAAGAATCGTTTCGCTTCGAATCTGTCAATGGATGAGATTCACCATAGTAAGGAAATTCTTGAGTGGACAAGCTGATTTGAACCTGATAGGTACCGAATCCGATAATCGGCATCTTATCACGAACGTAGTCCCTTCCTGCGGTAGACATAATCCTAAAAGTACCCTTCAATGATATCCGAATGTACTTCAACCGGACCGGTAGTACGGAACGGGATGCTTGAGTCAGACGAAGCGTGAAGCATAAAATATGTAATTGATAATTCATCCATAAACACGTATACAGTCAAATGGACGTATATATGGACCACGCAAAGAGAGTCAGCTTTATGCAATAATCAGTAATATTTGGTCTCAAACCCGTAATAGTCCCAATTAAGCAAAGCGGATTAAATTTTTTGCTTTTACTTTTTCTGCTTGTTTTTCACTAGGCACCTGATGAATTCTCTACTTGACGGATCACTTAAACATGAGCAAAACAGCGGATCCTCCTTCACTACTGGACCACTTTTCGACCCCCATTTGACGATTCGGGTCCAGTTGAATCAATCATCAACTTTTACAGGCTCCAGCGGAGGGTGGGTGATAGTGGAGGAAGAATTGGATCACACTTGACTTTTACCCATATGAAAACTATATGAAGAGGTACCACCGTAGCTATAGTCTTCCACAATTCACGATCCAGTCGACCACTGGATACGACCCTGTCCTCAAACAAGGTAGACCCATCATCTGCACACAACGTCGATGTATGAGCTTCCCTTCTCCCTAGTCATTGACATTAGTGAAGAATTCTACAACATTCTGAGGAAATGCCACAAAGTGTAAATGCAATCAAATTAGAACGGAAACGAAAACATCTGAAAACCTTGCATATTAAAATCGAAATAATTTTTACAATTTCTGAACGACTTCCTTTTCTTTTTCCCATTTATTTTGATTCCGAGCACTCAAAAAGAAAGAGAGCTTCTAGAAGGCAGCTCTTATCGGAGGTGTCTCTCTCCGTTGTGAACTTCAAGACTCAATAGAACTCGAGATGCAGGCGTTATTATCCAAACGCGTATTGCGTGAGTCTCATCCTTACAGTACACATCTCAAGTAATGAATACGCAATCTGCTGTACAACACGCAGGTCATACAATTAGCCACTTGAAACACATAAAAACCGCAATTGGATGAGACATCAACGGGTTAGTAGAGGACCCATTGAGATTGGGAGAAGATGGGAGAAAGAGAAGCTAGGTGGCTGGAAATGAAAGTATTGCAGAAGCATTCTCTGTATATATATCGTAATCCGTAATATATGAAAATTGATAATTAATCAGTGCAATTAAGGAAAATACTTTAATAAAGAAATGGGTAAATAAAAGACTCATAATGAAGATATCTTCAGAATGATGCACCATTCTCAAA